GAGTTGCTTGTGCAAGGCTCCTGCAGGGAGGCAGGCAAACTACAGCCTCATCCCTCAGAAACTTCCATCTAAGGCTGAGGTCAATGAGACCACTTCTCTGAACGTTTATACCTTTCAAAGGACAACCCCTGCATAACAAGGAAACAAAAGGCGATTTTGAATTTTGTGCTCAAAATGAGTAGGGTTTGGAGATGGGAAGAAACCAAAGAGAACCAGATGACACCTCATTGTGACTCCAAACTTTGTCTGAGACACACAGAGCAAAAGATGAACCTTAAGAAGTAAATGCAGCGACTTGTCGAACACTACAGGTTTCACAAAAATCTGTTCCTTGTTCTGCCCTGAGCTACAGGCGAAAGAGAAGACATTGCTTGAATTTGGCTGTTGTCCTTCACGATTTTCTCTTTAATTGTAATTTTTATCTGCAAAGTATTAGCATGCAGGCCAGCTGACCACACTACAGAGGTGTGAACACATGCTGGAGGTCTGAACAGCTCATGCCTGTGCAATCATTGCCCTCACTAGGGCCTGTCTTGCAGAGAAGTCTGAAGTCCTGTAGCTTTCTGCTGCCCCTGAGTGCTCTTCTCAGGCTCAGACAGCAAAAGACCCATTTGGGGTACAGGGTCGGAGCTCCCACCTGTGCTGCCTGCAGAGCTGCTTTTGCAGGCAGCTGGGATGTCTGGGTTGGTGCCAGCTAGACAGTGCTGAGGGGGTTGTATGAGGGAAGATGAACTTTTAAATCCTAAGTTAACTGCCTTTTTTTTTTTTTTTTTCAAGGCTGTCCAAAAACAAAGCCTGGGAAAAAAAACCCCAGCATTTCCAGAATGCAAGACAAGTCCCAAATTACCTGAAAAGAAAGTGCAATCTAGTGCCGTGTGCTTTCAGTGTTGCTCTCTGTTCCTTCAGTTTCCTTCCGGTTTCTTGTGCTTCAGCGTGTGTCCGGTTATTGCAGGTATCTGCTCTGTCTGTGAAAATGAAACACCAGGAGGAATTGCACTTGGTGCAACTGGTTCACGTTTGGGGTTTCATTCACAAAAGGAACAGGCTGCTCTGGGAATCCTAAGTTGGGCCATGCACAACGTGAGAGAGGAATCAGGTGCCCATGCCTGGCAAGTTTAAAGAGAAGGTGTTGTAAGAAAAGGTAAGGAATGAGCAAGAAGGACTAGGAAAGGCTGATCTCAAATCTCCTATGTCCTCTTTGCTCACGTAGTCATGCACATAGGTGATGGGTGCCCAGGTAGTGCCAGCAGAGAGAAGCTTGGGTTTCATGCTCCTTGAATAATATTTTGGCTACTGAGTATGAGGGAACTGTAAGGCCACTCCTTGTGAAACCCAGTTCAGCAATTGTGCTCTGAACCCTCTCATACCTTGCTGAGCCATATGGGTTTGGGGATTTTCTTGGGGCTTAGATAAGAGCTGAGGTTCCCTGTGGTTATGTCAGCTTCTGGGGATATGTGTGCTGCAAGAAATAGGGGCAGTGGCAAAAAACTGAGCATGCACTTCATGAACATGCACTCTGAGGCAAAGGAGAAACAGAACGGAGTTTATCAAGGATCTTGGGAGTAAAGAAAGATTAGATGTCAGTGCACAGAGTAGCAATCGGATGTCCAAATCCCTTGGGGAACCCAGCTCTGGGAGCTGACCTAACTCACCCTGAAGTCAATGGGAACTGTAAAGGGTCCTGTAATGGCACTGCCATGACCGGTGGTACCAAAAAGACTCAGAAACATTTAATCATATTACAACAGACTGTGTGTCTGCCTTTGCTTGGACTCAGAAACTAACTACAGAAATAGCAGAGGAGATATGTACAATTTCATATTACTTCACTCTATTTCCCAGGCAGGAATAGGTAGTTTGAAAACAATTTGCAAACATATAACAGGTCCCTAATGATAGTTATAATATTTATCCTTTAAAAACAACTTAATGAAAAAAATAAAACTCCTCAATTTGCAAATTTGTTATAATGAGAATACAGTTCTTGAGCTCACAGAATGTTAATGCATTTGAATACGTTTTTATGAATAAAATTATAAACCCAAGTAATTCTGCTGTGGCTTGGTATCCTATCTGTTCAAACTCTTAAGACCTTTGGGACAGGAGGACATAGCTGCCTTAATTTATGCAGCACTTTACACAGTCTATTCTAATGAGAAAGTCTGTTCTAATGAGAAATAGTACCTGTGATGGCAAATGTACCAAGATACAACCCTGAGAGAGGTCTAGCTGCAAAAATGAGAGCAGCTTCCCACACACACTCTTAATAAACAAACACATGTATCATCACAGTTAAAGAGATTTAGCCCTGGAGCTAATCCTGGGAAAAAGAACAAATTTTTATTCTTTTTGTTCCCTGCCTCAGCTGTTTCCAAAAATGGCCCCTGCAGCTCTGGAAGTCACCTTCCTGAACTGGATCTTTGCAGTCAGTTTTTTTAGGTTTTCCCAGACCACGTCCTGGCCCTGCACATTCTGCTTAAATTTGTCCTTCAGTGGGATTCAAATTAGGATCCCCAAACTCTTTGGGGACCTCTGCTTGTTTCTTCAAAGGGCCATTCAAACACAGCATCTGATATGGAGTGCACAGACAGGCACACAGGCACCTGGACCTTATGTGGTCTCTGCCACCAGGGAAGTCCTTGCCAGATGAATGACTCTTGAATGTGTCTCTGCCATACCGCGTTCTCCTAATTCTGAGTCCGTACCAGGTAGGTATAGAACATAAGCACCACTGAATGTTTCTGGCCAAATGTACCTTGATGAAAGCTGTGTCTACATTTAGTATGATACAGATCCACATGTGATGGCTTCTCTGCTGCTCTGTTTCCTTCTCCTTCAGGCAAAAGGCAGAAGCACTGCTGTGCTTCAGCCAGAAGGCTCAAATGTGCAAAACCTCGAAGGTTAAATTCCACAGTGTTTTGCACTACTACAAATTTAAGACAAGCAAACTGATGGGTACCACAAATCCATGCAAAACCAAGTAAATAAACAAGAGAGTAAAATACCTTTATGAAACTTAATGGAAATAATTTCAAATATTTCTAATACTCCTAGTTTATTTTCATAATCTTTTTCAATTTATTCAGCAGTCACCCTAGCACTCATAATCTTGCCTGTACTTTCAAGAGTGTTCAAGTGCTGACCACTGTGGCCTCTCAGACTTAAAGCTCAAGTTGTATTTCTTGCTGGAATCAGCAGAAGTCTTTTTATTACCTTCACAGCATCAAAGGAGTGGCATAGTATACAGAATGATCCAAAAGCTTTGCACATATTTCTGAGAGATCTGCAGTAATTCCTGTGCATTCATTTCTCATGCTAAATTAGACACTTAGATCAGGTTTGCTCAGAGATGCTTCTGGCTCTTCAGCTGTTCCAGCTAGCACAGGTTAAATGTGACTTAAGACAGCAGCAACAGCCTTAGACCAATTTATGACTCAGTACCAATGTTCTGGGGGAAGCCACCTTCTGAGGGAGCTCTGAAACAATGCTCTTTTGTATAATCTTCACAAGCACAGGCATGGGGCCCCCAGGGAACCACAAAGAAAACATTCAAAGGAATCTCTGCCACAACATTGCAGAAGTCAAAGATGGAAATTTAGGACATCAGAGAGTTTGCATTCATTTTAGCTACTTCTTTCATTGTAAATAAACTAAATAAGCATGTTGGTAGTGATGTAAACATTTGACACCAGAGGTGAGTGCTGGCTTCTCTTGAACTAAATGAAACAGCTCTGGAGCCCTCAGCACAGGAAAGACACAGACCTGTTGGAGAGGGTCCAGAGAAGGGCCACCAAGATGATCAAAGGGCTGGAGCACCTCTGCTATGAGGACAGGCTGAGAGAGTTGGGGCTGTTCAGCCTGGAGAAGAGAAGGCTCCAGGGAGACCTTATAGCTCCTTCCCGTACTTGAGGGGCCTACAGGAAAGCTGGGGAGGGACTTTGCACCAGAGAGGGTAGTGACAGGACAAGGGGTTTAAACTGGTTTTAATGGTTGTAAAATGGTTTTAAACTGGAACAGGGTAGATTTAGGTTAGACATCTGGAAGAAATTCTTTACCATGACAGTAGTGAGCTACTGGAATATGTTGCCCAGGGAAGCTGTGGAAGCCCCCTCCCTGGAGGTGTTCAAGGCCAGGCTGGATGAGGCTTGTGCAGCCTGGTCTGGTGTGGGGTGTCTCTGCTCATAGCAAGGACGTTGGAACCTGATGATCTTTAAGGTCCCTTCCAACCTTAACCATTCTGTGATTCTATGAAGGCAGTGCTGAAGCTGACAATTGTCTTTTTTCAGTAACTCTGCAGATAGGAATAATTCTGTGCATTTTAAGATGGTTCTCAATAATCCCCTGACTTTCAAGAGTTAGGTAGCAGGTAGTGTTTCAGACAAGACTGACTGAAAACCAGTATTTATAGTCAGGGAAATTCGGCCATTTGATCCTCTACTATTGAAGTCAGCAGGATTATTCAAGGGAAGCACAGTCACCCTGAAGTTGGGGTAACTGCAGACACCCATGTGTATGTTATAAACAGAACTGCTACAAGGAATTGCTGAAGAGCATTGAGTACAAAGTTCAGGGCCAGATCCAGGCTTTGAGAAATGATAAGATACTGGTTTAGCCCAACCTTATCAGCCCCAAGTTTGAATCTGGAGCTGAACTTGCCCTTTTAACCCAGAGTTTGGGTTCAGACTATGTTCTGAAGAAAACAGGTTGGTTTTGACACTATTGTAACCATGCACACTGTTCTTCTATAACTGCATTAGGTTCTGCATCGGATATCCAAGTCTCTTCCAAAAAACCCCTTTGGGAAAAATCGTAACATTGCGATAAAGATGTTACTGCATATTAGAGAAGACTTATAAAACCCTCAAAAACTAAAATGCCAAATACACAATTAATACCAACGCTGTGTCTGAATTTAAAACTTTCCAGTAGTTTGTAGCGACAGTTCCACCCTAACGACCATTTTATTTTTATTAAAGAAGCAAAAAGGAATTCCAAAAACTCTACCTAGAATCACTCGTTTCCGCCAAGCGGTTGTTCATGATGGCTAGAGCACCCACCCCCGCGGAGAAACCGTTTTGTCTCGTATTGATACAAACGTTCCTGGGGTAGCCGTTGGCCGTCTCGGACAGCTGCTTTTGCAGAATGGCCAGGGAGACTTTATTCGATGCTGTGAGCTCCCTCATGGAGATCATCTCCCCAGAGAGTCTCCTCCCCTCGGTGTCACTGTCGTACTGCCCGTCAGCCTCCACCGAGATGTTGTGCCGGCGCAGGCGGGCTCCGGGGGTGATGGCGTTGCGACGTCCCAGGCGGGCACTTGATTTATGGCACTTTGGGCAACATCTGCACTCGAATTTTTTCAACACCCAGTTCAAAACTTGCTTGATCACGATCGAGATGACGTTAAAAAGAGAGTATATGCAACATACCCCCATCAGTATAAAGATGAAGTTTCCGAATCTGTACAATCCCTGGTTTTGGTAGGCAGCGTTTTGGCTGCTTACCAGATCTCCAAAGCCAATGGTGCTGAAGGTGACAAAGCAATAGTACAAGGAGTCGATGTAGTTCCATCCTTCCACCGCTGTGTACATTGCAGAGGCGCAGCAGGAAAGGGTAATAGCAAAAATTCCCAAAATCAGCATCACGTGGTAAACTGATGGTTTCCACCCCACAAGGCTGCCCACCCCCGACATAGCTGTGCCCCTTCGGAAGTTGGGGGGCAGGAGGCCGCTCCTTCGCAGCTGCCTCTCGTGGCATGCCTTCATGATAAATGCCAGGAGAGAGATGATGCGCTCCAAGAAGAGGTTGAAGAAGAGGATAGTCCCAGCACACCCAAAAAGGCCATAAACAATGAGGAAAACTTTTCCGGCCACTGTCGCTGGTGTGGTCATCCCAAAACCTACGGTGTGGAGATACAATTATTAGCACGAATGACATGGGTTTTCATATGTAAGCTCAGGATATATGTAACTTAACAAAGGTCCCGTCTCATTGCACAAGTGGAGTGCTATCTCCAAGTCAGCTTAGGCCAACACAGAACTGAGTTTTGTAGAGAATGAAGATGGCACCAGAAAGCTCAATGAAGTGCCCAAACACTCAGAAGAGAGCAAAAAACCCTCGCAGGGAGGAGAGATGGTATTAACAGAGAAACACAGCTCTCTAAATGTGGGTGGAAACATTCCTGAGCCCAAACCATGACACAAGGTGAAGGGCCCTGCTCCCATGCACATGAGCCAGCGTGGCCTGTTGTTCCCATCCCATTCCCACTGTGAAGATGGAGGGTGTCACGCTGTGTAACAGAAATAAAAAGCAATGTCTACCTCCCAAAGATCAAATACTGTTTAAAAAATAACAGCACGTCAAATTCTTCACCAAATCCCAACCACGACGAGCTCACCTGATACAACCACAGAAGGAAGGAAAAGCCACGGCCCCATTTGAAGTCACCAGTGACCCAACTCTGCTGCAAAGCTGCCAGGCAAAGTGGGAGTACTAGGATTTGCATACTGATATATACAGCAGGGAAAAACACTGCCACATAAGTTAATGGAAAAATCGGAGTATACAAACTCTGGAAAGATCCAGCAGCATTATCAATGCACCTTTTCTTTACAAGAATTATCTCTTGACATTACCTTATCACTCTGCAACTACCTGAAAGGAGGTTGTGGCAAGGTGGGTGTCAGTCTCTTCTGTCAAGTAACAAGTGATAAAACAAGAGAACATGGCCTCAGGTAGTGCCTGAGAAGGTTTAGATTGGATATTAGGAAAAAAATCTTTACCAAAAGGGTTGTCAGTCTCTGGAACAGGCTGCCTGGGGAAGTGGAGTCATCATCCCTGGAGGTATTTAAAAGCCATGTAGGTGAGGTGCTCAGGGACATGGCTTAGTGGTGAACTTGTCAGTGCTGGGCTAACAGTTGGACTTGATGATCTTAAAGGTCTTTTCCAACCAAAATAATTTTATTATTCTCTAATTTTATATATAAGCAGTAATGCCTTGTAGCTATAGATGCTTAAATAACAGCAGAAGTGGTCTTAAATTTGCAATATATACAGTAACTTTGACTCACATTATTTGCTGATACCTGTTATTTTATGAAAGAGAATTACATATATCTCACATGTCAGGAAGATTCTTCTGAAACTCAGTTCCATCAGGATGGTTTCTGACTGAACCACCAAGTTTTTTTGCAAGGAAGAATAGCAGTACTGTTCCACAATAATGCCAAGCAAGCAACATATTTGGGGAGGTAAATACCAACATCAGAGCACATCAGTAAAAGTCTGCAAAGAAAAAGGAGCTTTTAGGATTGAGCATAATGAAATAATGACATCCAGTTTATTGTAATGATGTGCCTTTAAACAGCTACAGGAAAATATTCCCCATGTATAAAGAGTTCATATTGCTTCTTGAAATCTATGGATTTTTTTTTTGTAATGGCTGTACTTTCCTAGGTAATATATTTGTGCTACCTTTGTACTTCATTGAGACAGAATTTCACATTTGTGACAAGTAAACTTGGAAATATCTTTTACATGACATGAAGGTGCCTGAGGAAAGAGGTGGTCCTACTTTCACAACAGATTTTACATGCTTGGAAATAGCTGCATGCCAGCAATTTGGATGGTACTGCATCACCAGTATCTTCAACCTGCAGTCTCTTCTGTAAAGGACAGTGAAAAACTTGCACAGAATTACCAGAAAATAAAAAACTACCAAAGGGGTCATTAGATTCTGTTTTCTGGTCCCATGATGTGCTAAGAAAGCAGCTTTGAGCAGATCTCCCAAAGGCTGCCTTGGGGTTTCAGGCTTAACACGGGGGAATTCCAAGAAATTCCTCTCAGTTCTTCCACATATGTAGGATGAAGCTGTTACCTGGGTCTGGCTGGAGGTTCATGGGAGCCTTCTCATTTGATGATGAATATCCACTAGAAGCTGAGGCGCCTGTTGCAGTTGCCAACTAGGGATACCCAGCCAGCTCATTATGGAGAAGGCATCTGTTCGCCCATGTCTTGCCAGCAAAGCATTTAAACATGTGCTTCACAGCAAGCATTTGAATATCATCATCATCAAAATAAATGGGTTTACTGTCACACATACGGCGAGACACATTTATTAATTAAAAAAAAAAAAAGAGAGAGAATGAGATTGCGACGGTTTGGATCAAGTTGTAAATGTGCTGAAGCTTTTTAGCATGTTCTAGTGATCATTCATGAGAGGTGGAGAAGTTTTATATCTTTGATGCAGTTTGTTTAAGCAAGATTTTCTGAAGCTTCATGTTACCAACATTCAGTATGTAGCTACTGTGAAAGGTGAAGGGACCCATCATGGCAACATGAATGCCAAGATTTACATAAAGCAAACAAAAGGCAAGATCAGGCAGACATAGTAACTTTAGGTCAACAGCTAGCAGATAGAATTGTGCTTATGCACTCTTCGTACAGGGTCTTCTTTTGTCAGCTGTGTTTGCCCCTTTGGCACCACCTGGACCATGAGGGGTTTGCCCTGGGGCTCAGTCCCTGCTCAGGTCTAAGTGCCTCATGATGTCTGGATGAAATCAAATAACCCCAGAACTGCCTATGCTTTTGAGACAGTACAAGGAAAGAAGCACATCAGTGCTTTGCATTTTTCACAGCCCTGACATACATTGTACAGGTGCTTTGGGGATGATTGTGTGTAGCTCAGACAAAACAATCTCCCTCGTGTTAATTCTGTCCCACTCTGATCCCCCACTCTGGACACAGGCTCTATGGCACCACTAATTTCAGCTGTTTGATAATTCTCCACAAAGAAACAGAATTAGCAGAGCTGAGTTCTTAAAAAAAACTCAGATAACATTCACCCTTCAGCAGCCTCTCAAGGTAAGTGCTGGCAATTAATGAGTCCCTGACTTGCATAACAGGTTTTGCGTTACTATTCCATTCACCTGGACTTTTGATTTACTTAAGCTGCTGATGGATTCAAGAGGTAGTGCAACCAGACAGACTTGGGAAGACTTATGTGCCTTGTGGTAGGCTTCCCTTTGATTCTTGTTTCTTCTCTTTTAGTCATTTTCTAATGGGTAAAAGTTGTTGGTACCAGAACACAAGGAATAGCAGCTAATGTACCTGTGAGCTCTTCTCTCGGGCCAGTTGGTTTGGTGATTAGCTTGTCTTACTAGATTCTGAGATTAAAGGGCTTGACAGTTTTCTAGTAAAGATATATTTAACTGGAGATGGAGGAAAGTGTTGGTTACCTTGAAAATGGAACACAAGAAAGTCTTCCAGCCTTTTCCATGGCAGCATGTGTCCCTGCTTCTTTCAGCCACGTCCTCAGCTCTTCCTACAGAGGCATCCTGCCATGAGACTTGGCTCATACAGCAAGTCAGCACAACTGGGCAATAATTTTAAATCCCAGAGTGTAGAGAATGAGAATAGCATCACCTCTATCACCTCTTCATGATGCAGTTGCATTTAATGGAATCAAAATAAATTAATATTGTTGACTGTAATTTTTTAAACAATTTTTTTTTCTCATAAATGAACTAAAAAACCTCTATAACCAGAATGCTTCTTCCACAGGGAAAGAAGTTCTTACAGGGCTGGTCCCAAAGAGATGTGCATTACACAACACAGGCAAATGAACTAAAAGCAACCAATTTTGTTTCACATCTGTTTCACACTAGCTTCAGTTCATGGCTTTCCCTAGTCTTGTTGGTCTTTACTGTCTCACATGTATACTGCATCAAGGAAGACATTACCATACTCTTGAGTTTCAAGACTAAAATTCTTCATTTGGATTCTGGTGCTCCCTTCAACCCTTTTTCCACCTGTCAACATTTCATTATTATTGTCCCTAATAAGAGTCATACCTGTGTATTTCACAGCTACTTCTCATTTATTATATAGCTCCTTACCAGAGACAGAAACAGTTGCCTTGGATACAGGGTCACAGCTCAGAGCCGACAAAGCCACTGCAGATGGAAACCTTCTGCTGCACCCAGCCCCTTCACCCATGGAGTGAGAATACTGAAAGGCAGTTCTTACACCTGGCTTTACATTCAGACTACAAATGAAAAACTTACTTTCCCTTCAACATCTTTGCTAGTCTACTTTATTAAAATACCCCTCTGGGGCTCAAACAGTACATTTTTTTAGAGCTTTTCCATTGCCAGAGCCTTTAGTATCTAAGTTGCTGTACAAGCACATTTGATCTTATGTAGATTGCTATCAGAGCTCCTGAATGGTGATGGTCTGACCAGCATTGTGTGTGTTAAGGAACTTAGTTAGACCCATGCTTAGTCTGAAGACATGAAACACCACTGCAGCTTTTAAGGATGGTCTAACCTATACTGTACAGAAGCTTGCAGGCCTTGGTGACTAGATACCTTATGGACAAAATACTGAGTGACTACACAACTAAGGACCGACTCCCCACCTTGTAGCCTTTAAGATGTCTCAACGTTGTTGAGCTTGTGGTCTTAGAAATGGACATTAACTTTGGTGCAAAACAACAGCTTGCCTCAAAATTGCAAAAGGAGACAGCTGGGTACCCATCCCCCAGCCTTCTGAGCCAAACGCCTGCAGCCTGAGGTTCAAGGAAGACTTGTGGGGAGGAAGTCACCGTGTCAGACACCCCTGAAGACCACCTCAGAGACACAACATGCACGTGCACAGATGAGGAGCTAAGGTCAAGAACCGTGATGATAAAAAGCTGTGACACTATCAATACAGTGAAGCGCTTCCCCACCCTAGGACCGTGTTGGTAACTATCCTATCCTATCATTGCTATTCTCTGTGTTTCTGCTTTCTCCTCACTTCCCTGTCTTTTTCTTTCTGTCCTATCCTTCTAGGGATCTTGAACTTTTGTTGTGCACTCCAATAAAGTGTGGTGTGTACATGACATCTGACCTTGTTTGCG